CTACTGCAAAAAAAATCAAACATATGGTCTACCATGCCAGATTTCACTCTGTGATCTGATCTGTCTAGTATTACAATCAGCTGGGATCAGAACAGTAGACAGAAGCCCTGATGTTGATGACCATGTCTAGTGATGTTGGATGGAATAGGGCTGTGGTAAATGGGAATCAAAGGCCAAAATGATTGAGCAGTAAGTGAGAAATCCAACATATTTGATGCCAAGTTGGATGGTCTATTGGAATGCACATACTCTCTCAGTGATGCAGGAATTGATGTGAATCCTTGTAATTGCATAAGGCATTTCTAATGTCTATTATTTAAAGTGAAGTATACATTTTTAATTGAATTATGTTCCTTAAATGAATTAACTTTTGAAATATCTCAGTTGAGAAGTTTTATGAAGTGAAATCTTATCCATCTGTTTTCTTTGGACAGTCTTTTTAAACTTTTATCTGCCTTTACAGCATATTTAACAAACATTATGGATCCATGAATGAATGGGGGACTCACATGTTAGAAACACTGTGCTCGTAGTGCTGAAGTCAAACATGTGCAGAAATAATAGGCGAGGCTGACATAAAGTGTTTGTCACTTTATTGATAATGACATGTCTAATTAGAGTCTAATAGCACATCAACTAACTTGATAGGACCCTCAGATATTGGACATAAAATGTCACATCAATGCAGATTTAGCTAATCAGTGCTAATTGGGGTAACTCCCTTTTAATATTGCAATGCAATGTCTGTTGTTTTTGCACTGTCTGAAGAAGATCTTAATATGGCATAACATAACTGAAAAAGGGGCCACAATTTACCTTTCCATCCATACTAATCATTTATTCCAGGTACTATTGACTTATGTGATTGACACTGTTAGAAAGTTCATTGTTGATAAAGCAATACTCAACTTTATAGTTCATATTGCTACAAAGACATCTTGGTTTTTTGAGATCTTATGTTGTCTAAACCAGAAAACAGAATATTAAAATTCCATTCCACAAGATCCCACTGGGAAAAACCAGCAAATAAGAAATACAAACACAGATGGAACTCAATTGACAGGATCTCCATCCCTGAGTTTCCAAGGCTGGAATTGCATGTGGCCATTTGTTTGTAGTTTGGAGACTCAGCTGATGAAATGCTCAGCCATGCAGGAATGTTCTATGCTGAATTAACGAATGTCAGCAAGGAAAGCTATTGAGAAGCTGGAATTGAGCTCAGTGCATTAGAGCTGCTGGTTTAATCTTTATCTATTGACTATCATTATAAAGTGGTTTGAGAGGTTAGTAATGGCACACATCAACTCGAGCATCCCAGATTGCCTTGATCTGCTACAATTCACCTATGTCACAGCAGGACCACGGCAGACACCATCTCCCTGGCCCTACAGTCATCCCTGGAATGTCTGAATAACAAGGACACCTACATCAGATTCCTGTTTATTGACTTTAGCTCCACCTTCAACACCAAAATTCCAACAAAATTCATCCCCAAACTCTGCGTGGCATGCTGGCTCAGTGGTTACCACTGTTGCCTCACAGCAGCAGGGACTCAGGTTTGATTCCACCCTTGGGTGGCTGTCTGTGTGGATGTTGCACATTCTCCTCATGACTGCGTGGGTTTCCTCCGGGTGCTCTGGTTTCCTCCCACAGTCCAAATATGTGCAAGTTAGATGGATGGGCCATGCTAAATTGTCCCTAGTGTTCAGGAATGTGTAGATTAGGTGGGTTAGACATGGGAAATGCAGGGTTACAGGGATAGGGTAGGCAGATGAGTCTGGATGGGGTGCTCTTCAGAGGGTTGGTGTCCACCAGTTGGGCCGAATGGCCTGTTTCCACCCTTGTAGGGATTCTGTGAGACCAAGGACTCTGCCTTCCCCCCTCTGCAACTGAATCCTCAACTTCCTGACCTGCAGACTGCAATCAGTAAGGATTGGTGACAATACCTCCTCCACAATAATCCTCAACACTGGTGCCCTACAAGGCTTTGTACTCAGCCCCTGACTATGCTCCTTAGACACTCAGGACTGTGTGGACAAATTCCGCTCTAAGTCTACTTACAAGTTTGATGATGATGCCACCGCAGTGGGTTTTACCTTACAGAGATAGACTACAGGAAGGAGACAGAGAGTTTAGTGGCATAGTGTAAAGACAACAACTTCCCTTTTTATATCAGCAAAACAAAGGAGTTGGTCATTGACTTCAGGAGGCAGAGTATCAATGGTGCTGAGGTGGAGATGGTCGAGCGCTCCAAGGTCCAAGGAGTAAATATCACCAACAATCTATCCTGGTCCATCCATGTCAATGCTACAGTCAAGAAAGCACAGCAACACACCTACTTCCTCAGAAGGCTAAGGAAATTTGGCATGTCCACAACGACTCTTACCAATTTTTATAGATGCACCATAGAAAGCATGCAGCAACTGCTCTCTCCAAGACAGCAAGAAACTGCAGAGAGTTGTGAACGCAGCCAAGTCCATTACGAAAACCAGCTTTCCTTCCAGGGACTCCGTCTATACTTCCCGCTGGATCGAGGAAGCAACCAACATATTCAAAGACCCCCTCCGCCCCAATTATACCCTCTTCAACCTTCTTCCACTGGGCAGAAGATACAAAAGTTTGAAATCAAGTACAAGCAGATTCAAGAACAGTTTCTTTCCCACAGTTATCAGACTTTTGAACAGACCTCTTATATATTAAAGTTGATCTTTCTCTGCACTTTTTTTGTAGCTGTGCCACTATGTTCTGTGTTCTGTTCTGATATCCTTTCTGTAATTCTGTAAGTAATGATTTGCCTGGATAGCACGCAAAACAACACTTTTCACTGTATCTTGGTATATGTGACAATAATAAATCAAATAAAATCAAAGAGTGACCTCCCCAAAATTGTTTACTGACTTCAGTAGACTTCAACTACACTAACATCAATAGGATATGAACAGTATGAAGGCTACAGAGGGTACAAAACCTTTGAACTACATTGCCAAGAGAATATTTTAGTCTTAAGAAAGCTGGTCAGATGAATGAAGCAGCTGTGGGTGACCATTTTGCAGACAGCAATGAACGTATTACGTTTAGATTTAGCATCATTATGGCAGAAGGACAAATATATAACAGAAATAAAATTTCTATGTGGGGGAGGATACATTTTGTGAAGCTGAGAGATGATCTTGTGAAGGTAGGTTCAATATACCTACTTGAAGGAAAATCAGTGACAAATCAGTGGAGGCATTCTAAAACTCAAGTTTCTATAGACAAAGTTCAGACATGTTTCTACAAAGAAAAAAGATAGTACTGCCAAATTTAGAGCATGCTGGTTATCCAGAAGCATACAGTGTAAGATAAAAAAGAAAAAGAAAGATTACGACAGTCAGTATAGTTTTAATCCTGTAGAAAGCCTAGCGCATTCAGAGTTCAGGGATGAAGTAAGAAAGCACAGAAAGGATGAGAAAAAAATTTGGCTGGTAAAATCAAGGAAAACCCAAAGATGTGTTATCAGTACACTGAAAGCAAGAGGATAACTAAGGAAAGGATAGGACCAGTCACATGTAAGTTGTAACTTATGCATAGGCGCAGAAGATATGGGCAGGAGCCTTACAGAGTATTTTGTCTGCTTTCACAAAGGAATGTGATAATACAAACTTACTAATTAAACAAGAGAAATGTGCACTATTAGACAGGGGAAGGATAATTTAAGAGAAAAGGATTGACAATGTTAAAAGTTGTATAAATCATTAGGGCCAGAAGGATTGTCACTCAAACGAATCAAGGAAGCCCGGAAAGAGAAGATGATGTTCTAAGGATCAGATCTAATCCTCACAAGACACAGGTGAGTTACCAGAGGATTGGAAGTTTGCAAATGTTGTGCCATTGTTTAAAAACGCTGTGAGCGAGAGGCCAAATAATTAAAAGCCAGTTGATCTAATCTTGGTAGTTTACAAATTATTCATGTCAATTCTAGAAAAGTAGCAAACTGATTTTAATTCAGAAAGTTGTGAGATGATACATTTGGGGCCGGCAAACAAAACAAGGGAATATACAATAAATAAAAGGATATTGGAAGGGTGGTGGAAGTGAGAGATCTTGAAGTGCATGTTCCTTGGTACTTGAATACGGCAGGACAAGTAAACAAGGCAGTATGAAAGCAAATGGAATGTTTTCCTTTCTTGTATGAGGTATAGAATGAAAAATCTGCAGCATAATACTGAAAGTGCATAAAATACTAGGTAGGCCACAGTTGGTATTGTGTCCACAGACAAACTTTAAAAGATTATTGCCACATTTGGAAATTATAGCTGAGGAAAGAATCAACCGGCTAGGTTTGCTGTCCTTAGAACAGAGGGTGTTGACTTAATTTAGGTGTACAAAATTAATAAGGGCCTCAATTAGACAGGGACAGCCTGTATCCCCCAATTGAGAGTCCAATTACTAGGAGTTCAAGGTGATTGATTGAAAAATTCAAGAGGACATGAAGAAAAGCTTCTTCACCCAGATGTCGGCGAGTTTCTGGAATTTGCTGCCTGATTTGGCCATGCAGGTAGAAATCCTAACTTTGTTTTAAAGGGACTGGATCTGCAAGGTCATGGACCAGGTCCTGGAAGGTGGAACTAGAATGGGTGATGAGATTTTTTCTCGGCTGCACAGATACAATAAGCTGATGACGTCTTTCTGTGCCATAACTTTTCTATGCCTCTATGTTTTCCATCATTAAAGAATGAATTTTCCCAGTATTGTTCCACAGGGCAACCTAATATATCACAACTAAATATTGCATTGTCAGTTTGAATGTTCCGCACAGGAACTATTACTTGGTATCAGTTTGATTATTTTATTTGCAGTCATTTTTTCAGTGTTCCAGAAGTACAATGTACAAAATAAAATTACAGAATCAATATTCGCTGTACGATCTAGCAGTGTCATTTTCAGTTAAGACATTACCACATAGTTGTGGGCTTTGAGTTTCAGTCTCATCAGGCTCAAGCAACATAAACTCTACATACCTTTTGAACTGTGAAAGTCCGTATAACATACTCTGCTAATGGCTCTGTCTCCACAAGTGTTACTTTAATGTCTCCATACAGCTCAGTATCATCTGGCCAATATCTGCAGCATTTCACCTGGTACAAAACAAGAAGAAAATAAGTGCTGTCTATGGATTAACAAAAAGGAGCATTTATGTAATGGCTGCTAAAAGCTAAGTCTCTGAATTTCTAGATATTCATGAAAGAAATCACAGTGTATGAGCTGAAATCCTGTGGCATTGATGTGTAGGCCTATAGTCCAGTTCTGATATTTACCTACTAAAATGAAAACTTGTTTCTCTTGGTCACCACTTAGGGGTTCCTTCTTGAAGTCTGGCTGAAATTGGCATATCCGAATATCACAGAGCATTAATCATGTTTGATATTTCTATAGATTGGCAGTTAACTGTGAATCCTGTATCGTGTTCTTCCTTGGTTATCAAGCTTAGAATCCCATCAGCGAGTAAAAGGAAATAAATAATATACTTTGCACTGATGTCCTCCAGTCACCTCATGCAGTCTTTCTAATTACTTTCTATCAATCACAGGTAAGGTAAATAATTTTCTTACTTCAGTCTCCACTCATATCATTGTTCCACACTCCAATCCTGCCTCCTTCTGAATCCAACTTCGGGGAAAACAAAAAACTACCCTCCTATTCACTTGTGATTACACTTTCAAAATCCCAACTCTCTCACCTTTGGTGTCCATTTACCACAACATTTATACATGATTCATTTGTTCAATTGTCCCCTACCTCCACTTTTGATGCCCTTGCTCTCGACAAAAATCATTACTCTCATTCACCCTGCCTGCTTTCCCTGATATGTTCCCATCTCCACTCCATTAAGTACAAAGGATGCAGACTTGAAAAGATATGGTGGACAACTGGTTTAACCATTAATTGCTTGATCTGGCTGAACAATATAAAGCACTAAAGGGTCAGAGTCTCATCTGCTAATGTTCATCCTGGAATGAAAAGATAACTCCTGGTTTCTTTTTTCTCCTGTAAACTATCCTCTTAATCCCCTCTTCAGTGTTTTCTCCCACAATAAATGTGATGGACACAGTTTGCTTGTCAGTAAGATTGAGGCCATCTGACCTGCTGCCTCTGTTACGTCACTCCCTTCTCCAAGTCCATCTGACCAAAATATCTTTAATTCTCCACTTTGCCTTAGCCTTGAACTCCACTCTATTTTGTCTCCCCTATCTTGCTTCATGTCATCTTGAACTAATCTTGTCCATGAGACCCAATGCCAGTCGTCTTGAACCTATTCCATCTAAACTAGTAAAAAAAACCGAAAGAACTACGAATGCTGTAAATCAGGAACCAAAGCAGAAGTTGCTGGAAAAGCGGTAAACTCTGTACTGTGAGGGTGTAAGGGAATAAGGCCTAATATCCAGGTCATCCTCTTAGTATCCATAATTTTCATATCTGTAACAGTGGCTAAAAATAACCATTCCTTGTTCATTGCTACACCCTCTTTATAGTTCGACAAGTAAGTGGTTTTCCTCTACCACACTAGACTAACCAAGCCCTGTAGTTCCCTATGTTCTAAAGAGGATGATGGCATCAAACTGACCACATGGTGAGGCTAGACTCAGTTTAGCTGCAAATACAACATCCCCGTTCATGCGTCTGTAGTCTTTGGCATGGGTGACAACACCATCCCACTCCGACACCTCCATGCTGAGTCCAACTGTCTGTGACTGCTCTCATGTGGTTCCATATCATTTTCTATCTAATTGTAGCCAGAGTATCACTTCTAGTTGCTTCTTCCTCTCCCCTTCACCTGCACCCTTATCTCAGGTGACCCCAAGGATCTATCCCCGATTCCTGCCATCTATTGCTGGCCTTCTGTGACATGATGTTAAGGCACAACATCAATTTTCACAAGTATGCTGCTGACACACAGCTCTATCTCTGCTTTCTCTTGACTCCTCCACTATTACTAAATTATCAAACTGCTAACCTGACATCCAGTAATGCATGAAAGCAATTTCCCCTAATTAAATGCTGAAAAGACCGAAGCCATTGTTTTCAGTTTCACCTTCAAACTCTGTTCCCTAACTACTGACTCCGTCTCTCACCCTGGCAAAATTTGAGACCAAACCAGTCTGTTCATAACTTTGATGTTATAATTGACTCCAGAATGTGCTCCAATCACATACCTGCTTCATCATTGAAATTGCTTATTTCTACCTCTGAAACATCACCAGATATTCCTCCATCCCCCATCTCATCTCATCTGCTGCTGAAACTCTTATCATAGCTTAGGACGGCACGGTGGCTCAGTGGCTAGCTTTGCTGCCTCACAGCGCCAGGGACCCAGGCAACTGTCTGTGTGGAGTCTTCACATTCTTCCTGTGTCTGTGTGGGTTTCCTTCAGGTGCTTTGGGTTCCCCCCAGAGTTCAAAGATGTGTAGGTTAGGTAGTTTGGCCATGCTAAATTACCCGTAATGTCCAGGGGTGTGTAGGTTAGGTGGATTAGCCATGGGACATGCAGAGTTACAGGGATGGGTCTGGGTGGGATGGCCTTTGGAGGGGTGGTATGGACTTGTTGGACCAATTGGCCTGTTTCCATAATGTTAGGGATTCAATGTTGTCGTTACTTTTAGACTCAACTATTTCAGTGCACTGCTGGCTTGCTGCTACATTCTACCCTCTATAAGCTTAGGTCCTCCAAATCTCTAGGAGACAGCAAGAACTGCAGATGCTGGAAGTCAGAGTCATTACAGTGTGGAGCTGGAGGAACTGGAGTTCTGATGAAGGACCCTGACCTGAAACGTCAACTCTCCTGCTCCTCTGATGCTGCCTGACCTGCTGTGTTCCTTCAGCTCCACACTGTATCAACTCAACCAAATCTCTGTTGACTGTTTAAAGGAATAATTTTAATATTTGCTATCTTCAACTGGGAAGGTGACATTATAGGAAGACTGGCTTAAGACAGAGATGAGGAGAAATGTCTTCTCACAGAAGTCAGGAGTCTTTGGAACTCTCTTTCTCCAAAAGTGCTGAAAGCAGAATCCTTGAATGTTTTTAATGCAGGGTACATAGGTTATTAATAAGCTAGGGGGTGAAAAATTCTCAGGGGTAGGCAGGCATATATGATAATTAAATCAGCCATTATCGAATGGTACAACAGGTACAAGGGGCTGAATGGCTCCTCCTGCTCCTATTCATATATTCACAATGTACTCTCGATGAGTACTGATCTCATTAGGAAAACTGGATCATAGATTCACCCTGCAAATATTCTTCAGACATGGCTAGATCTTTACTCTTCAATATTTATAGCTTATATTATTTCCTTTCTTCAATAGTTCTGAAAGGCTAAATTCAAACCAAGCCAAACCAATCAAAAACATTCACATTACATTTGTCTTTTCACAGTTATTGATAAATAATGTCAAAATGCTGTCTCACATACTCTAACCCAAAACAAGTTCCATTCAAACCTCACCTCTTTCCTTGCTGATTTACATTGGCTACTGTACCAGCAATAGCATGGTTTTGAAATTCTCATCCTTGTGTTCAAAATCTGTCCATGACCTCATTCCTCCAGACTCACAACCATGTGAGCTTGCTATGTTTCTTCGATTCTGGCCTCTTGCACATCCCTGATTTCCTTCACTCAATCACTGATGGCAATACCTTCAGCTCCTTAGGCTTTAACCTCAGAAATTGCCTCTCTAACTGTCTCTTCTCCATGAAGCCATTCCTACCTCTTTCAGCAAACTTTCAGTCATTCTAATTTCTCTTTTGGGAGCTAAATTTTAAATTTTGTTATTGTGTTGTTCCTGTGAAGTGCCTTGGAATTTTTTAAAATGATAAAGATACACGGCAGATCTAAGTGGTTGTGAAGCTCTTGACTCCCATTCTGTGAAGGCTGCTGACTACGCAGAATAGACAAGTGAGAATAATTTCTACAGGAGCAGCCAGAGTGAATGTTAAACAGAGCAATTTGGGTATTTTTTAGCTTAAATTTAACGAGGCTTATTGCCTTTCACTGTTCCAGCTCGGAGAATCACTGCAAACAATCACCAGAAAATAGGGCATACAAATTGGGCATGCTACTCTGCTCACCAGACCCTCTGACCCACATTCCTGTGTAGCAAGACTTCACACTTGGAACCTTACATTACAAACTTTAAAAGTTTGCATTTATATACCATTACTCTCCTTCGTAAAACATCCCAAGCTTCTTTAGTCAGTTAGCTAAAACTGAAGTGTTGTCATTTTTGAGCATTAGTAGTGAATTTACATTGAATGCCAGTCACATGTTCCATAAATTGTGATTATCTGTGTAAAGAGACATCCATTAAGATTTAATTTATTTCTATACCATACAATTAGTAATTAGCCTTTTTAATCAATCTAAATGCAAATATTCAAACTGACCGAATGTAATTCATTCATGACTTTCAGGACCTCAGCAGAAACTCTGCCTGGAACAAGAACAGGCAATTTGGTCGTTTGACCCTGCTCCACCATTCAATAAAATCATGGCTAATCTGTTTGTGGTGTCCACTCTATTTTTCTGTCTGTCACTGTTTCAACTCTCTGTCCATCAAAAATCTAAATAAAACAGCCTTGAATAAATGCAAAGACCCAACCATTGCTGGAAGAGATTTTCACACTTTACAGATCCCTTGAGAGGAAAAAGAAGGAAACCACTTATTCCAAAAATGTTTCCCCTAGTAGTCTCCTCCAGCCAAGCCCACTAACCAGTCCCCCAGAGACCTTGTGTGTTTCAAAGCCGATACTCTAACCCTGCACCCTGGCTAATTCTCATGCCAGCTCTTGTACATCTGACAATGCTCACCCTCTCATCTGTAGTCCCTAACCAATGCACTCCCTTGTTCTTGTACCCCAGTATTGCTTACACTCACTCTTACACCTCTGACATTGCTTATCCCAATGTTGCTCACCTCCCCGGTCACAATGTCTACAATGATTACCTTCCCTCCCTCAACCCCGAACCATGCTCATCCTCAGTCCCTCACCTTTCACAATGCTCATGCTCACTCTTGCCTGAACCTCATTCCCTCACTTCTGACAATGCTCACTTGCCTCCTGGCTCACCTTCTAGAAT